TCAGCTGCACTATTAGGAAAGGGAAAGAGGGAGCTGTGGGTCTCTAGTTAACGATGCATCCGGAAGATTACAGGCTTGGTCACACAGACGGCTGATTCTGCCTTTCTATGAAGCCCAGGTTAGTCCCATCCATGGACCTCTCACACTGCTGAGTTGGGGAGCTGCTTTCTTTCACTTTACCCTGTCTCCTAGGTTGTGCGATTAGGGGGACAAACAACAGCAACAAAACCCCCAAGACCCCCCAACTCCCACACACATCAGGGGCTAGAATAATGGCTCAGTGGATAAGAGCACTTGCTGCTCTTGCAAAGGACAGTAGTTCAACTTCCAGCACCTACGATGGTGGTGCTCCAGGGGATCTGATATCCTCTTCTGACCTCTGAGGGCATTAGCGTCCATGTGCGCACACCCACATGCACACAACTGAACATTAAATATTTTAAAATAAAGATCTTTAAAAAAATTATGTGTATGGATGTTTTGCCTGTATTTACGTTATGTATGTGCACAGTGTGCAGTGTCCTTGGAGGGCAAAAGAGGGCATCAGATCGAGTAGAAATGGAGTTACAAACAGCTGGCAGCTGCCATGGAGGTGCTGGGAATGAAACCTAGTCCTCTGCAAGAGAAACCAGTGCTTTTGACTGTGGAGATATTTCTCCAGCCCTTAAAATAAACCAGGTGTGGCGGCACATGCCTTTAAACCCAGGACTTGGGAGGCTGAGGCAGGTGGGAATCTGTGAGTTCAAGACCAGGCTGGTCCACAGAGCCAGTTCCAGGACAGCCAAGGCTACAGAGAAAGACCCTTGACTTCCTAATGAGAAAACTACTATTCTACACATTCTTATTCTTAAGGATGAGAAAATTGAGGCTCAGAGATTCCATCATCTGCCCAGTGTCATAGTTCCAGTAATGGAGGCAGGATTCAAACCTGAATGGTCTAACTCTAGAACGCTGCATTATCATACATCAAGTGAAATGCATAAAATGTGGTTCTCAGGTCTCTCACAGAAACACTTGCTAAAAATTCTGATTTCTGGGCTGGGCTATAACTCAGAGGTTAAATGTCTGCCCAGTAAGCACAAGGCCCTGGGTTCAGTCTCCAGAACACAAAACTCCCTTCCCCCTTCCAGAAACATTCAGATTCCTGAGGCTTACTGCAGACTTAACGAACCACTAAATACCGACCGAATGCCAGTGTCCAAGAGGAAATCAGCTCCGAGTTTTCCAACGGTCTTGTTTTTGTCTTCCTTCCTACCCCGTCTTTGCTGGGTGGTTTCTGATTCTGACCCAGCAGTTGCTGGTAGCATTCCCCACATGTCCTCTTCAAAGAGAGTTGCCTCCCCTCCCTTCCTCCTGCAGAACTTGGGGTTTGGCTCAGCTCCTTAGAGCCTCCCAACCCTCCCAGAGTGGACAGGACTCTGGAATTCTTGCCAGGCCTGGGCATGCTGTGTGCCAAGGGGAGTAGCCTTCAGCAGCCATTCCTCCTGTTCTGGCAGGAGGTCACAGCAGGTTCCTTGAATCAGGCAAGACGTATGAACCAGAACAGGGAACCTTCAGGCCTCAGTTTCTCTCTGTATAACAGGGACAACCAGGGTTGTCTTTGCCCTTTCCTCCTCCCCAGGAAGCATGCAGAACACAAAGTAGATTCTATCAGAAAGGATTCTGGGCTCCCAAGTAAGGCTGGTCACAGAAGGACCAGCCTCAAGGAATCCCAAGAACAGCGAAATCTGAGGAATAATGAGGAGTTGGAGAGGCTTTCTCTGGGTGGTGAGGGCTCTGGTGGAGATACGACTTATCATTGCCAGTGGCCTTTGAGCTTTTAGTGATGCAATTCCCCACTTTCTAGCAATCACCTCTGCCTACAACAGAGGGAGGTCCCTTCTCTCCAGCACAGTGGACATGTCCTTCTCAGTCTACGGTACCTTCACAAGTACACCTGCTGATACACTTTTGGATCGATCTGTCTTTGTCTCTGTCTTCCCGATCTGGGAAAAGCAAGGCATTTGGAATGAGACAGACCTGGCTCTGAATCTTGGCCTTTTCACATTGTGTGACCTTTGTAAATTAACTTATGACTCCTGAGTTTCTGCCGTTCTCAAGTAGGACAAAGAGAATTCTTGTCTTTTTCCCATGCCCCTGACAAGTGATGAGGAGTGAGCAAGATAATTAGTAACCTGAATCCTATCAAGTATTGGCAATGGGTTGCACAGACACAAGTGTTCACCCCTTCACCGTGCAGTTTCCACACCCGGACCCACTCATATTCCAGACGACACACTGCAGAACAATCACAGTGCTGATTCCATAAGCTCGGAGGAGCCCCTCTGCCCCGACCCTCATCACAAAAGCTTAGCAAAAGCATCGGCCTCTACTCGGTTTGTTTTTTACTCACACCAGGACCCTGGGGACGTGTGAGGAACACAATAAAAGCTGGGCCAATCTGGCACTGTGCCCCGCTTCCCTTCCACATAAAGGCTGTCTGCCCGCCAGGCATCTGGCCGGCAAGACTGGGCCGTGACTTGCTCAGCATCTGCTGCTTTGCTTAAGAGACCTGCTAACAGGAAAGTGTCTGGTTCCTTTCCACCCTAAACAGGAAGCGCCTGCCATGGTGGGAGGACGGGGTAGCCTGGTCATTTAGAAGGAGTCTCCTGCTGCAGCTGGAAGGCCTGCTCTCGAGGAAGGCCAGAGGAACTGGGCCCCAGGTGACCCCTCCCTTGCAAGGGGCGGAGTGCTGACAATGGCCACACACTGCCCGTGGCACTTGGCACAGAGCAGATGTCATTCTTTCAGCAAACACTCATGAGATGGTCACTTGTGCCTCCTGGGAGACATAGGACAGTTCTAGACAAGCTCTTCAAGTTTGAGGAGCTAACACACAAGATAGAAAGGCAGGTCATTTCTGTGTGGTGGCACTCTTATTTATGCATTCATTGTACACAGGTTCCCCCCACCCCACCCCGACTTCCTTTTAAAAAATGCATATGGTTGGAGCTGGAGAGATGGATGGCTTCAGTCGTTAAGAGTACTTATTGGCCTTCCAGAGGACCCGGATTCAGTTCTCAGCACCCATAGATAGCTCACAACCATCTGTAACTCCCCAGTTCCAGAGGATCCAATGCCCTCTTCGGACCTCTGCAGGCACCAGGCATGCACAACAGGCAGGCAAAGCACTCAATACACATAAAATCAAAATAATGTCTTTTATGTCTACTGTTTTAGGTGGGGTGCTGTAGGTTTGGAGAGAAATATGACACATATCACAGAACAAATTTTAAAAAATGGAAAAACCTTGAATCCTGTGACTGCCACAGGAGCTCACTGTGGCCTGGGTTTGACTCTATTTTGAGCAATTACTTCGCTCGGCTTCTCCTTGTTGTGTGTCCGCAGTCAACTACATTTTCAAAAGAGCAGCCAGAGAAATCCTGGTCAAACGGGTCACACCTCTGCTCAAACAGCTCCTTCTGACAGCCTTTCCTCCCACCCTACTTAAATCTACAGTCCTTCAAATGTTCTTGCAAGGCTTGCATCAGTGGTGGAAGAGTTAGGGAGCTAACGGGGCAGTGGAGGCAACTCAGAAATTACCAGTGGTAACAGGACTATACGAGCCAGGAACGGGAAGGACAAAGGGAGGGGTTGGCTTTTGGAGCCAGGGATCAGGGCTTTGAACATTCCCCTCCTCCAGGAGGCAGGTGTTAGAGCTCAGGTCACCAGTGGAACCTGAAGCTCTGCTAAATCCCTGTGGAGTGGTCTCCATTTCTCCTTGTGTTTTGTCTCCCATCAGCTTCCCATTGACAAATTCTACGCTCTGTGTGTGTATGTTTGGTTTGTGTATTAAGTGTGTGTGCACAGGTGTACATGCATATGTAGAGGTATTATGTGACAGACTTTTCCTGGGAAGACAAACACACACACACACACACACACACACCTATTCACCCTAGAAAGGGAGTACAGTCCCATGTAGGCTACACCAAAGTACAACGTGATGAACCAGTGAGTTCCACTGCGGTTATTTATAGGGCTATGGAGGTGGGATTATAACTTACAGGTACAGAAATGACTCAAAGACAGCTACATCACTCAAATCCACTCTAGCATGGTGACAACTCACAAAAGCTGGAAACCTGGACCACACTGCACAGCCTGCAGGCAGCTCAACAGGTTGGAATGCATCTTTTCCTAGTGGCTCAGTCAGTCTGAGCCTCTTCCAGGAAGCTGGGCTTTGAGAAGCCTCAAAATTGCTACATAAAGAGGCCAGAGATTAAACTCCAATGTCTTCTTGCATTGTTCTCCATTTTATTTACTGAAGAAGGGTCTCTATCTGAACCCAGAGCTCACTTGATTTGAGGAATCTTAGCTAGCAGCTTGCCTTGGGCATCCCCTGCCCCCGAAGGGCTGGGATTCCAGGCAGACCACCATGATGCTCAACATTTACATGGGTGCTGGGGCGGGGTGTCTTAACTCCGATTCTCAGGCTTTTCTCCCCAGCCCCTTACTTACCAATTCCAGTGGTAGCAATTAAGCAATTTTAATTTAAGGTATTTTTTGCATGGCTGAGGATTAAATCTAGTGCCTATAGCTTGCTAGACATCCAGCCAACCCAACCCCCACCCCCATGAGGGGCTTGCAGAGGACAGTGCCTCCTGTGAGGTCATGGGGAATGGGCCAGAGGCAAGCAAGCCCAGAAACAAGACTTCCCCAGTAACATTCTGCTAACACTGTTGGGTTCAACGTTCCTGCTCTCTTCTCTCAATGCGGAGACCAAGGCCAGGTGAGTGGACATCACTAGAGCAGGAACAGCCACCGTGGAGTGTTATGTGGGTGAGGACGAAAGCTTGGTACAGGTATCATCATGGCCCACTGGATTCATCTATGAGGCAAAAGCTTGGAAGGCAGAAGGGCACAGGGCTCCATCTGTGGTGAAGAAGGACCTGGAACAGTGTAGACATGGGAGGAGTTTCCAGTTTGGAGGGCAGGGACACTGTGCACAGATCACTGACCTTTGTTCAAAGGCTGGTAGGAGCCCTGCTTCTATCCCTAATTGGCCGTGGGAACTTGATCAAAGCGTTCACCTCTCTGAGTTTCAGGGTTACCATCTACAAAATGTAGATCCCGACTTCACAAGCCTGTCCGGAAAAATTAGAGATAATGGATATAGAAAACTAATTGTCACTCCTAAATTAAGTTCCTCAGAAGCTCCTGCTTTTCTACTTTAATTAATTAATTAATTAATTAACTAATTAATGCATGCAGAGGTCAGAGGACAACATGCAAGAGCCAGTTCTCCCCTTCCACCATGCAGGTTCTAAGGATGGAACTCACGTGGTCAGGTTTGGCAGCAAGTGACTACCCGATGAGCCATTTCACCGGCCCCCAAGTTCCCATTTTTTAAAATTGTCATGTCCAAAGTCATCCACGAAGCACACAAGGCTTTTCAGAGAAGCTGCTGCCTCTTTTTAATTTTTTTTTTAAATTTTTGAGACAGGGTCTTTGTAGTCCAGGCTGGCCTCACACTTAGAATCCTCCTGCCTCAGCTTCCTGTGTGCTGGGATTATACACATGCATCTCCATGTGCACATGCCTACTTGTCATGACATTTCTTATCCTCCCCCATCCCTGCCACTCCATCGACAGGCCAAGGAGGGCCACTTACAGTGCCCCCAAGTGCGCCCTCTCCTGATCACCACCGCAGCCCGCTCTGCTCGGAATGCCCACCGGCTAATTCCCGTTCTTTCTTCAAAGCTCAGTTAGGAGGCACCTCAGGCAGGATCTTCCCTTGACGACCCTACCTGCCTATGGATGAAGTGTCCAGTTTTTAGAACGTCTTCCGACCCTAGAACATTCAAATCCAGTAACTGGTAGGAACCACGGGTCTGCAACATGCCTATTACGCGACTGCAGTTGCTGGAGAGCAGTGGCTGGGTGTGTTTCTCTGTCTTTAGGACTTCCCAGGTCCTAGGAAAGGGAAACTGAGTGAATAAGTGAATAAATCATGATATAAACGTAAGCAGTCAAAGATGAGCAACACTGTTTTTGTTTTTTTTAATTAAAAACAATGGGCTGGAGAGATGGCTCAGCGGTTAAGAGCACTGGTTGTCCTTCCAGAGGGCCGGGGTTCAATTCCCAACACACACACACACACACAGAGCAGCTCACATTTGTCTATAACTCCAGTTCCAGGGGATCTGATATCTTCATACCAATGCACATAAAATAAAGTTAAGTTAATTATTAAAAAGATAAAAACAAAACAAAAAACTAACCCAGAAGATCTCTTTCTTCCTCCTGTGACCTGACTACTGACACTGCACAAGCTCTTCTCTGGGTTTGTTTCCTCAATACAGATGCTCAAGTTATGTGGCTTGTAATGAGAGACTTTTTATTTCTTTAGCCTTGCTTGTTTGGACCTGCCTGGAGGTTTCTATAATCTTCGTCTATACATTATGCTGAGGGCATGATGAGGAGAAATGACCTCATGCCCTTTTCTGACCTCAAGTATCAATTCTGAACTTACATTGTCACTGCAGCCCAATCTGTTCCTCTTGGTCCCAATCAGTCAGTGACACCTCCATCTGGCCATTATGTATACAGGAAACTTAGAACTCTCTGCCCCTGCCCCTTGCATATAGACATCACCATTTCCTCATAAGTGTGCCTGGGATATCTGCACTTACCTCCACAGCTACTTTGAGTCCTAGTGCACGATGATCTCTCACTATAATTACTGCATTGGCCAATCACGTAATCTCTGCTTACAACTTTTTATTTTGTTTTGAGGCAAGGTCTCTCTTTGTAGCCCTGTGTGTCCTGGAACTCACTATGTATTACCAGGCTGGCCTTGAATTCAGAAGTCTGTCTGATTTTGTCCTCTGAGTGCTGGGATGAATAGGCGTGTGCCACCTCGATTGGCTGAAAAAAAAAAAATTACTTACCAGTGCTGGGAATTGAACCCAGGAACTCAAGCATGTTGGGCCAGGTTTTTAATCACTGAGTAATATTCTCAGTCGCTCCCTCTCCCCACAACACACACACTTTTAGGCATCTCTCATCTCTAACCTGTTCTTCATTCTGCAGCTGGAAAATACATACCTCATCTCCCCCTTCTGAAGGTTTCTCGTGGGTGGATCCTCCGCCTTGGAGATAAAGTCCAAACTACAAGGCCTCAGCTGTTTAGCCTCCTAGTTTTCTGGCATTTTCTAGTATTCTCCCCTGGAGGCTACACTCCAAACTTATCAAATGACTTGTTCTGCAACTAGTCTGGACAGATCTTTTGCCCACGTCTTCAACTTGATTAACTCATCATCACCTAGGCTTTGGTTCAGGGGTCACTCACTCAGGGGAAATGTCCTCGCTGATTCTCTTTTAAGTTTTCCAAGCCCTTTCCCCAACGGACTGTACAGCTTCACGGGTTAAAGCCCTCAGCAGTGGGGTTGGGTTACCAGACTTCCAAATTCCACCTTTGCTCTTTATTAGCCACACGACCCCAGTCTGTTCGGCTTTATCCGCAACCAGGGGGGAATCTTTCATCAGTCTGCCACGCGAATTAAATGAGATGATGTAAGACGCCGACAATGAGCTTATTATTCTATAGCACTAAGAAAGCTCGATTCTCGGCACCACCTTATTCCAGGGGTCAGGTTTGCGCGTGATTTAGAATGAACTCACTTTTTTTTTTTTTTTGGTTCTCGTCTCACCTTGATTTTTTTAATGGACAAAGCAGTTCTAGCAAGCCAGGAGGTGATCGGGCACCGAGCTCGACACGACTTTCGTCCGGCGCGCTCCTCGGACTCGGAACGCCCCCGTGTGGTTCAAGCTCTGCAGCCAGAGCCGGAGCGAGGCCGGCCACACCATTCCCGATTTCCGAGGAAGAAACCAGCTCCCCAGGCAAACAGTTCCGACCTCATAAAAGGGGCGCCTCCTCTTTGGCTTTATGGCTTCCAATTCTACCTGACCCCATAAAATCAGAAGTCGGGTTGTCAATGGGGCGGAGCGAGCGGGCCCGGCTGCCTCCACCCCCTCCCCCGACCCCCAGCCCCACGAGGGCAATGGTACTTTCCTTTCTCAGTTCCCTCTCAATAATGGTACGGTCGCGGAGGGGAGACCCGGGAGGGACTCCGGGGTCGGCGGACTGGAGTTGGCGCGGAGCCACCCCTCCGGCTCCGGCGCGGTGGTATCGCCCGGCGGGCGCTGATTGGCTGCCGCGGCCCCGCAGTCGGCCTCGGCCCGCCGCGCCGCCCTCAGACCAGCTCCGGCAGCCGCGCCGCCTGGCCTTTCGTTTGCCTTGTTCTCCGCGGGCCGTGGGGGCTCCGCGCCGCGGCTGTTAGTCATGTCGGGTAGGTGACTCCTCCAGCGAGCAGCGGCAGCGGCGAGAAGGGGTCCGGCGGGTTCGGGCCGTCTTCCCGCCCACCGGAGGGCGGCGAGGGAAAGCCTCCGGGCCCGAGGGAGGCTGGGGGGGGGGGGGCGGCCGCGGCGCCGCCATGTTGGACCGGAGGCACACGCACGCTCCCAACGCTCTCTGGCTGCACATCCCGGCGGCGGGAGCGCTCTGGAGCTTATGTCTTTTTTTTTGACCCTGCCCTTGGAACCCGAGGAGACTGCAGCTCCCCGGGGAGCGGGCTGTGTGTGTGTGTGTGTGTGTGTGTGTGTGTGTGTGTGTGTGAGTTGGGGAGGGGGGCGGAGGCCCGTCTACACCATCGTAGGGGCGGGGGAAGCGGAGATCTGAGCATCAGCCTGAGGACTGGGGCTTGTGGTCCTCCGCTCCGCTTCAGATCTCTCAGCCAGGCCCCTGGCCGGTCGTCTCGCCGCCTCGTTCCTCAGCTTCCCCATCCGAGAAGTGGAGCTGGGCCTTCCTGACTCACCCATTCATCAGGTGGGGGTCTTGGGCTCTGGGAGCCCTTTTCAAAGCACAGTGCCTTACACGAAATCGCACGTCACAGGTCATTCCCTCTGCTGTAACCACCGGGATTGATTGGGGTTGGGGGGTGTTTGTGTACTCGGTTTTCAACCTTTGTACTCCCTCTTCTACTTGTTAATCTCCTGAGCTTAAAAGTGAGCCTTGACAGTTACTGATGAGCACTATGAGGTCTTCGTGGCATTTCCCTTGAAACAGAGACCAGAGGAAAGACGGCGTCTTCCTCTGAGTGATATTTATAGAGGCCACTGATGTGTGGAAGAGAGGCATTTACCCCTCCCGGACAGCCAGTTTGGATCCTGTTAAACCAGAATTAAAAAGTCCTCTTGATTCTAACAGTTCCAGTCGATCACACAGGGTCCTTTATTGTTGGGCTACGTTTACAGGTGGCAAAGACAGACCCAGGTATCCACTTGATCTTAGAAGCCAGCATGAGTTTGTACTTGACTTCCGAGAGAAGCATTGCCTAAAGCCATATGGCTGGGATGAAATACGCCTTTTGGTAATTTTACATTTACTTATCTATTAGAGACAGGGTCTCATGTATCCTTGGCTGGCCTCAAACTCACGGATCCACCTGCCCCTGCCTCCCAAGTGCTGGAATTAAAGGCATGAACCACTACCTCTGCCAGTTTTACATTTCTATTAATTGAAACACCTTTTAAAAGGGTTTCCCGGGCTGGAGAGATGGCTCAGCCGTTAAAGGCCAAGTTCACAACCAAAAATATAAGAGTTCAGTTCCCAGCACCCACGGCTGTCTCTCCAGCCAATAAAATATATATATTAAAAAAAAGGGGGGGGCGGGGTTTCCCTAGTCCACCCGGTGCATGTGTGAGTGAGTGTGACCAGAGCAGCAGCAATTGGAGAAGATTGCAAATGAGCAAGAAAGACTGGGCAGGGCAATGATAATCTTTCCTTAGATTAGCATTGATACTAAGGAGCTCGAAAGCTCTGGGAGCAGTGATGGAAAAGGCTAAGCTGCCTTGAAGTTAGCTCTTTAAATTCTGTTTTAATTCTTTTTCAAGCAAGGGACTATTCCAAAGTAGACATTGGTATGTCTTCTACCAGGTACATAATTTGTCATGATATCTGATAAAGTTCCAGAAAAATATGTACAAATGCTTCCTTAAGAAGGGTATGTGTAGGCTAACTATGACTGTAAAAAACATTAAAGTGCTACCCTCATGTATGTATTTACCAAAATCCAGTGCAGTCAATGATCAGTAAAAAGTCAGGATTGTTTGGAGAGGGTCTTCCAGTGTATCTCCAGGCTGACCTTGAATTCATCATCCTTAAACAGCCTTCTGAGTGGAATTACAGGCTTGCTGCACCTTGCCCAAACTGTGTTGGTTGTTAATGTAATTATTCATATAAGACAATGACATTTTTATAGGACAGGGTAGTTTCGATGGAAAATTTAAGTTTAGAGGCTTAAGTTAAAATCTTTTAAATTCTTTTTAGTGTTATATTCAACTTAACATGTTTTGTGATATTTGTATAAAATATTGACTTTTGTATAAAAGTAATGCTTTTGACTTGTTTTTTAATGCATGTTTAAATTAATAAACTTAACAGAATAACACCCCCCCAAGCAACTAGTATCATTAATAAGTTATATTCTTTAAGCATTTCAGACTACACTTAGAAATTTAATTTACTCAACTAATCCATATACTTGCTGGGTCAGACTTACAAACCTATTAAAATATAAGCATTTGGGCTGGAATTAATGCTTAGACACACAAAACTTAAGGATTTGATCCCCTGCATCAGGGGAAAGAAAGGGATACATAGCGTTTTGTCAATAAGTCAAAGTTATTGTCAGTCTGCAAAAGTAAATTATCAGAGCGTGTGAGTTAAAATCATAAGTAAAATATTAGTTATATATAAAATAAAGTTAAGCTATTTCTCATTTTGGCAATTAGGACAGATCAAGATACCTTATCCTCTATACACACCTCAAAAAAAAAATAGGCAAAAATTTGGGAAGGCCAAGACCCATGGTAAAAATGAAGTGAGGCCAGTATGCTATGCATAGAGCTATTTTGGCAGTTATCCCACTGAGAGTGTAGGTCTTGTGTAGAGTGGTTTTATTATCTAAGGATAGGTGAGGAAACCTTGAACTGTTAGCCAGATAATGGAAGCGTAAACCCTTATAAATCTTGGATTTACAGATTATAGATTTGAAGGACTGTGTCCTTCAGTGAAGAAATGAACAAAGGAAATAATCGTAGTGTAAGCCATAACAAGGAAGCTTAGACACAGCATAATCTTAGAATCTTGTAACCTGGAACCTCTTACTTCCTTTTAGGTACTCATTTAGCCTTTAGGAAACCATAAAATGATTTAACATAAAAATAAAAATCTGGGCTGATTAACATCTTTGGGTTCCTGGTTTAAAAAAATAATAAAAAAACAATGAAAAACTGGAGGAATTCTCACAGCATAGATCACAAAGAATCTGAGGAAATCCAAACCTTTCAAAGGTGAGTTCATGGTGAAAACTGAGCACTAGGGGGGGCAGGTGTCAAATGAGTCAAATGACAAACTGGATTAGAGCAAATGTTTTTAGGTTGAAGATTAAAAACCTAAAAGAAGGACTCAACTTTAAGGCCAACATATTATGTGGAAAGGCTATATAGACTTGAAAAGGGAATAAAATAAAATTTTAAAAAATTACATTAATGTGTGGGTGTGTACATGTGAAAGTCAGGACAAAGGAGTTCTTTGCTTTCACCATGTAGGTACAAGATATTAGAGTCAGGTTGTCAAGCCTATGTCAGGCATTTTTACCTACTGAGGCATCTCACCCTTCCCCTCCCCTAAATATAATTTTCAAAAGTGGAAAAAATGAAATTGCAAATCTAGCAGAATTATAAATGTTGTCTGTTCCAAAACTCAGAAGGATAGAGATGAGATGAAAATGAAGGTTGGTGGGTATGGTGGTACATACCTCTCATTAGCACTCAGGAAGCTGAGCTGGGAAGAGCTCCAGTTTTAAACCGGAGTGAGCAACATAGGAAATTCTTGACTTAAAATTTTTTTTTTTAGAAAAGTTGAATTGTTTTTTGTTTGTTTTGTTTTTGAGACAGGGCCTCATTAGCTCTAGATGGTCAGGAGCTCAGAGATCTACCAGCTCCTGAATATTGGGATTAAAGGCGGACAAGCCCAATGAGTTGTAATTTTTAATCAAGCATTAGTTTCAAATATGCCTAAAAATAATTTCAAGTAATCTATAAAATTACAGATTATAGTTTAATAACCCATTAAAAAATTTTAAGAGTGGCCCTGGAGCTGTGGCTACTGCTCTTGGCACAGAGAACCAGGGCTGGTTACTAGCACGCACACAATTACCGACAAGCCCACAATTACCTGGTATCTCCAGCTCTAAAGCATCTTACCCCCTTTTCTGTCTTGCATGCATGTGTGCATACTCTTTCACACATATACACATAAATCTTTTAAAAAAGTTTTAAGAGAATAATGTTTAGAAGGAAAATAACCAATAACCTTGAGTTTCCTACCAAATAAACTGGCACATAGTCATACTGACCTTTGCTAAAAGAATTAATGTGTAGAAGGAAAAGGAATAAAAATTGCAAAGAAAATAAAGGTGAAGACTTTGATTGACATTAAGATAGTAAAGTCTAGTGGAGGTTGATAATTTTGAATTTTGTCAGGAAAATATGTAAAAATTTAGTTATAAAGCCATGAAAATCAAATGTAAATGAAGTAATAGTAAGAATGTGGCTAAAGACAATGAAAGTAGTA